CAATTTCTGCCCCCAAAATGTGCTTAGTCTATGACAAATTAAAACTAGGGTGCTATTGTGTGACTCTGCCTGTGAAGTTTATATCTACTCATCTCATATTCAGGGATAACAACAGACAAACAAGAAAGCAACCCTACCCAAGTCTACCTTAATGACCGAAGGAGTTTCTACAGTAACATACAGGAGCATAGAGGACTCAGGAAGTGCATCACCAAAAATCCTACCCCAGCATGGGTGATGACTCAGAACAGCTATGTGCCTAGAGATCCTTGTGTGGCTTTGAAATGTCTCCTGCATGAAGTCTCTTCCCACTTAGCACTTGTGGATGGAAAGGTCCCTCTTATGTCTTGTGGGATCTATGAGCCTGCAGAGCCTCCTTTGTTCCCTCCAGAAGGGAATGGTTCATTTCAAGGAAACAGCTACATGAGAGATGGATGCCAATTTAACTGTAGAGAGTATTTCCCACCATGAAATTTCAGTGGGGAAAAGCAACCCTGCCATGGTTAGTTAGGGCTGTCTGTAAAAGTGATGTATGATGAGCGTGGAAGCCATCAGGCCATGGGAGGAAACAACCATCAATCTTAAGGTCAGACTGGTAGCTCACGCCCAGCTCAACTGCTTACTAGTTGTATGACCTTGATCCCATTGTGTCGTTTCTCCATTTCCTGGCTTCATCATTTGTGAAGTGAGCATAGGCTTTACTTTTCTTTAGATTTATTTTATTTTACACATGTGTTTTGCCTGCATGTATGTTCATACATCATTACCTGGCACCTGCTGAGATCAGAAGGGAGCATTGATTCCATGAAACTGGAGATAGTTATAGTTGGAAGACAGCACATTGGTGCTGGGAACAAACCCAGGTGCTCTGCAAGACTAACAAGTGTTCTTTATGGCTGAATCATCTCTCTAATCTCCGGGCATAGACTAAATAAACATGAAACTTTAAGATATTATCTTCCCACTTGTGTTTCTGCATGCAACTCAACAGAAACAAGTGAAGTAGAAGTAAATCATAAACTCGTCAGTTTGGGGGGGGGGAATGAGACACAATGTACAGGGGCTAAAATGTGAAGAAAAACAGGAGATGGCACATGAGACAACACAGTTCAGCAGTAACATCCGAGAAAGCAGGGACAGAAACAAAACCTCTGAAAGGAAGGACTGAATAACCGTGGCACATGAGAAATGCCAGGGGTTCTGAGGGGGGCAGCTGTTGCTCAGGGACAAGCACAGATCCTATGATGGGCGACATGGGGGCGAGCTCAGAAAGTGCAAAAAATCCACTCTCAGAGGCGAAGGATTCATTCTGAAGCTTGAGCAAATAGGAATGAGCCCAGAGGAAGGAGAATGAGGTAGGCAGAGCTGGCCGTATGCGTCCTCCTGGGGTGGGGTTGTTCACAGACAAATGGGAACACAAAGGGCTAATTTTAGAGATAAAACGCTGGCAACCCTGAAGGAGGCTGGAAAGCTGGAAGGTATAAAGGACAAGTAACAGGATTTGATGCAGCAGAAGTAGAAAGACACCAAAGAAAAATGCAAACTAATGTAGCAAAAAGATGATTCATACAAAAGTATTGCTATGAGACGGTTAGATATTCTGATCACTTATTAAAAAAAAAAAAAAAGAAAGAAAGAAAAAAGTCAAGTCAGATCACCTGTGTGGAAAAATAACAGACAATGAATCAGGAACACAAGAGGTCAGGGGAATTGAAGAGCTGACAAGAAGTTAAAATAGGTTTGAATTGTGGGTCTTTGGAGCTCAAAGGTCATGGAAATAAAACCCTGTAGACGGAGATAATATTGGAAAGAGCATGAAGGGAAATTACACAGTGCAGGGGACACAATAAAGGAGAAATGGATCTAATTAAGAAATTTCTAATGGGTTGCTTTGTAAAAATAAAGAAATAGAGGATACAGGAAGTGAACACTGAAGTCTAACTACACGGGGCATATTAAAATCTCCACAAATACCTTTGCAGGTACTTATGAAGCATTATTGGGATTGGAAAAATATTTGAGCTAAAATCAATTTCCACCATCCTCTGGCACATTTCTGTCAGATCAGATTTTAGTGACACCACCAGACAGCAAAGTAAAATATAAAACTTGCAGCAGGAATCTTAAAAAGAAGTAGGAAATACACAAAAATAGTATCTGCAAAGCTAGCAGTGATGACAGCACCTAGGAAATCTAGAAGATAAAGCCTTGCTCAGGCTGTTGCTCAGCTTTAATACATTTGTAACCAAGTGACTCAACTTCCCAAATTAGAAAAAGAAAGTAGTGAAGGTTTAGATTAAAACCTGACACAAGCTCATAATGTGGAAAACAGACAAAAGCAGAGAAGTAAACCAGAAGACCGCACTTCTGAGATGATCTGAAGGCGCATTATCTTAAGAACAGAGCAAAATATTCCAATCAGAAAAGTAAAGAACTGCAAAATATGTCACTGGGAAAGGGCCGTGAAGATTATTACATACAGATTTCTGAGTAGTATGTTTAATATCCTTCACGAAATCTATTGTTTCTTATAAAAATACAAACTTCAGGCTCTTTGGCTTTGTACAAATAATTGGCTCCAGGCGCAGCCATGAGTTAGAACTCCACAGAAGAGAGGAGGAGGATGAACATTGAGAGGCCAGCAAAAATGCCTACGTGGTAAGTCCAGTTGACTGAGAACTAAAAGGATAATTCCAGAATCATTTAAATTTACTTAATTTTTAAGAAATTGTGATCTGATAGGGATAGGACATTAAGGCAAAAAGGTAGATTAGCTGAATGTGTATTGATGGTTGAATTCTACCTAAATTATTAGGTTGAGAATGAAATCAAGTATGAAAGACAGACACATGGCAGCGAGCAGACCATCTGAGGAATGCATTCTCAGTTCAAGGATATGGTACTCATTGAGGGATGACTGTTCCAAGCCATCTGACTCTTTTACAAGTTGTGCACTATAAACAATGCAATTCAGCAGAACTGGATGAAGGGCACTGAAGTTCTATGATCGAGAACACATATCCATTCCTACGTTTTCAGATTAACACTCTTCCCAATGACATCTCATTTTAATAGGATCAAAGGACTACTCGAAACAGAGGCACTCTTGCAAAGTATGCTTTCTAAGGACAAAGACCAACTTTGATTTCATATCAGACACTTATCTTGTGTCAGAATGAATGACTTACTTGGCGCATAATGTGTCAACAGTGATTTTGAATAATGAATAATCCCACAGACCCAGTAGTAATAAATAGTTTAAGCACTGTAATTTTCAAAGAAGCAGCACTCCTCCATGGCTCCACCCTGAGATATGAATATACTTGGAGTCAGAGAACACTAGGCAGGATTCCCTCAAGTCACAGATTGGCATGGCAGAGGCTCCAAGAGTGTGACTTTTGTTAGAGGTCAGTGAGAAGTACAGTTAACACATTTATCTGGTAATTTATTTTGCATATGAAAATAAACAAGCATTTGTGGATTATAATAAAAATTTCACATTAGTTATACTGAAATAACATGAGAGATCAAAGATTTTTTTTTGTAAATTATATGCTGTTGCTTTAAAAGGGACCACTGAATCTTTAGGGAAGCTTAAGTTTTTGCATGGTTGTTGAAAATTTTTTTATGAAAAGTTTGAGACCCAGTATCACATAATATCTTAGATGTAAGCAGTTATTCTCATTATAATTGCTGTAACTATTTTATTAACAGCTGGAAATTGTGGTCTAACTCAGTGGAGTGTTTGTACATATCTCTGTGAGAAAGCACTTTAAATACACTACTAGATTACACATGCATAATATTCTGTGATTATTTCATTGTTATTTATAGTTACCAGACTTGGACCTCAGTCTCTCTTCATGCTTTATTCTTTGCAATGAGTAGAAACTGTCAAATATTTACTGCTTTGCTACAAAAGGAAAATTAATAATAGCTAATTTCGGCTTTTTAAATTTTTTCTTTACATATTGTAATTCTTTGCTATTTTTACTCAGAGATTATTAAAAACACACATAGATGCAGATGGGATCATAGGATCACAACCTTTGACTAAGCTGTCTATATTTTTCAGAAATGATTCATTCATTATTTAATGAGTGGCATGAAAAGCTATATGATCCTAAAGGTAAATATGAAATATGGTTGAATTCCGGTGGGACCAGCTCATTCATTCAGAAATTCGAGAACTCTTTGCAAGGAAATCGAAGAAGTGTAAGAATGAATCAGATGGAAATTGTCTTTCAGAACTTGATAATTAAGTGAGAGAGATAAGCAGATCACTGCTGGCAATAGTATAATGAAGTATAGAACTTTTATATACAAGATTATATTAAAACCATATTGTAGAAACTACACATTGCATAATAAGTATTGAAAAGGAGTCTATGAGTTAGGTTAAAATCATCAAAAAGAACGGAAATGTGGAAGAGAGAGAGGCATGAAAGACAGAAATCGAGTAACACGACAAAACAAACTTCAATCCCCTTTCCTGCCTCACTAAAGGATTTGGGTAACCAAGGAGCTTTAAGCACAGTATGTAATTAAAGTATTAGTCACAGAAAGCTCTAATTTCATCCCCAGGAGTTTAAAAAATTAGAATTTAAGTGATGGTGTGAATTTAATTTATAAAAAGAACAGTGAGTCACAAGCTGCTCTTGTCAACAGCATCTCAGCTTTGTCCAAACAGAAGCTGCGAATCTGTGTTTAGAGCGAAGGGGCAAGACTTCTAAAAAATGGGAAAAACAAAGGAGCCAAAGTGGTTTTTAAATTATTTGGGGGCTAAAAGTCACAATGTGTGTGTGGATGGGATGCATGAACACTTGTTTCATCCGAATATTGTGGGTAAAACCTCCCTCCCTAGCGTTTGCTGCCTAGAAATTACTTGTTGATAGAGCATGCTTCTAGTGTTTGTAGAAAACAGTTTTGTTTTCATACTCAAGCATCTGTATGAATATATAAATAAGAGCCTTTCTACCATCCTCTCTTTTCATTTCTAGGCATAGATATCCTTCATCAACTAGGCATTAGAGGCAAAGATGTGAGACACACATCATCAGCGACTGCTGTGCCATCGTCATCCACACCATTACCTCGGAGGGTCCATTTGACAGAATTTGGTGTCATTTTAAAAAATAATGCCTATATTGAGGCACCTCTAGTGAACATTTTACCAATTAGTTTAAGACAGCCACTGACAGTATTGATTGGGTTGCAATCACACAAAGTGAACAATGCATTTCTCTTCAGCATTCGAAATAACAACAGGCTGCAATTAGGAGTACAGTTACTGCCTAAGAAACTAGTAGTGCACGTTGGAGGAAAGCAATCAGTAGTTTTCAACTACAGTGTCCATGATGAGCGATGGCACTCCTTTGCCATCACTGTTCGAGACCGAGTTGTCTCCATGTTTGTTGAATGTGGAAAGAGATTTTTTAGTGGTGAGACTACTTCCGAAGTTCAGACCTTCGACTCTCACAGTGTGCTCACCTTGGGAAGTATGAACAATAACTCTGTCCATTTTGACGGAATAGTGTGTCAGCTGGATATTATTCCTTCCACGGTAGCATCTGCAGACTATTGCAGATACATGAAACAGCAGTGCCCCCAAGCAAACATATCCCAAGCTGAAACAAGCCTTCCTCATGCAGCAGTAATGCCGACCAGACACCCTGAGCACACTCCCCTGCCCAGAGGAGTTGCTGAAACAGAATTGCCACAGAAGATATTCTCTGAGGGCAAAGCCATTCCAAATATCAGAAATAACCGCTCCACCACAGTGCGTAAAAGCCAGGAGCACCAGATATCAAGGTCCCAGTTAACATCTTTCCATTCAGAAAATGTCTCGGCTGTGACTCTGCCAAACTACAGAACTGAAGCTAAAGAAATTACCACTGAGGAACAGACAAATTTAAACCTGTCAGCGTCTCATCATCACCCAACTGAGACAAGAATACACACAGCTGGATCAGACATCACCCAACATGGCCAAGAAGCAGCTGACCTGCCCGTGCCGAAGCAGACATCATCTAGCATTGCACACACAAATCAAGAGGCCGTGACTAATCTCAAGAAGGCTGTCACAGCAAATCTACACACCAACGAACTCATGGAAATGGAGCAGATTTTAAACACCACCATGTATAGAGTGACACATGGGCCCTCGGTGGACAACCACCTTGAACTAAGGAAGGAAGGTGAATTTTACCCTGATGCTACTTTCCCCATCGAAAATAGCTATGAAGCCCAGCCTTATGAGTATTATTACTATGAGGATTATAGTGCAATGCTTGACATGGAGTATATTAGAGGGCCAAAAGGGGACACTGGACCTCCCGTAAGTTGGATTTTTCTTTTTAAACTATGTCTTAATGCACTAACTTACCATGCATTTCAGAGAGTGCCCGAACCATACAATATAGGACAAACCAGAGCTATCTAAGAAATGTATCTTGCCACAGTGGGTGACTTCATGTTTTTTATAACAAATCAGCCAATGTGAAATCCTGTCTCAAATTATACTTTTTTTCTAAATTGGCAGTCTGAAAAATTATCTAACTCTTGGTAAAGAGATGGAGAAACTATATGGTTTTCTAATTCAATTGAAATCCAACCAGGAATTTGACTGCAAATTATATTCTTTATGAAAAACAAGAACAGGGTCAATGCCTAGTTATGTTACAAAGGATATATAAAAGTTAGCTTATGGAAAAATATAGTAAATATGCCAATTAAGTATGCCTTTATCAAAATAACATTAAGTGGATTATCAAAGTATATTTTTTGTTATTTAGACAGATGTTATTTTGTAGACAAATGCTAGAAAAAAAGCAAATTGAGATGTTATCATTCTCAGTGGAATATTTTCATTTCCACAGTGAATAATGTAGTTCATGATCTCTTTAATGATGTAGTCAACTTACACTTACACTGGGTTGAAAAAGATGAGCCTATTTAATGGAGAACCCCAAGACAATCCACTAACACAAAAACAAAGTTGTGAAACATTGGTCTGAACTTCTCAGTTCTGAATTTCTTCCATTATGCAGATACAATTAGAGATCAACATTAGAAAATTTCTAAAATCTCTTAAAAACCTCATTTGCAATTAGTGTTGTAACTGATTATTTTTGCATTTGATATTTGTATATCTTAAGTAATTTGCCTGTATGTCTTTAGAATTTTATTTCAAAATTGCAAGAACACTAAATGAGTCCTAAGGCACTTTTTATTAGTACTTTTATTGTCATATGTGTGTGGATGTTTTGCCTGCATGTTTCTGTACCACATGAATGTCTGATGGCCATGGAGGCCTGAAGAGGGTATTCATTCAGTCTCCTGGAGTTACAGACTTTTGTGAACCATCATGTGGGTGCTGAGGATCAAACCCAGGTCTTTTGTAGGAACAGCAATTCCTCTTACCATCTCTCTAACACTTCTTCACTTGATGCAAATACAACTGGAATTATCGATTGAGTTCTAGAAACCATAGACTGAGAGGGGATGATGCCATGTTCTTGACTGGTGTTTCCTTGTGGTTATTACTTGAAGCAGTTGTAGTCTTAGCAAGTCTTCCTACAGCAAAGTGTTGGGGCTTACAGTAAATCCAGTAGGGGCACTGCTGTATAGAAGTAGCACCTTTGCAATACTTATAAAGAACTATGAGTGGCCCCCTGCTTTTTTTTGAAAGTCAGTGTAGTGATGAGCGTTGATCTGCTACCTCTTCTGTAAAGTCCCAAGTCATTATTCCATCTGGATTTGTAAAACATAGCATGTTCAACAGACATTTCCATAGACTCTGCAGAGCTTGAGGCAGAAACACAGCTCCTTTGTTCTGAAGGTGTCTACATTCCCATAAGAAAAAATAAGTACATGTGTAACCATATCTTGTGATGAAGCAAGAAGCATGCTCTTGGGTCCTGGAGAGACAGCATTGCTTCTAACCTTAGTTCAGTTACTAATACCACCTTGGGCAGCTCACAGCCACCTATAGCTCCAGGGAATCTGGAACCTCTGGCCGCCAAAGGCACTGCACTTGTAAGTGTGAGTACACACACACACACACACACACACACACACACACTTATGTGCACATACGCACAATTAAAAACAATAGAATAGATCATATGTGACTGAAAGGCATAATCTCATAAGCTAAAAGTGTGGAATGAAAAATATTATTTTGGAGCTGGTCCCTCGGAGCAACCCCATGTAGATCACTGCATTAGGTTATGATAGAATTATGTGGGGCTGGCCCTTAAGGGCTAACTATTTCCTAACATAGAGAAGACAGAGTGGTGACTGTCACTCACTCCTGTGAGTGATGATCTAACGAGCTCTTCATGTGCATTTTCTTGAAAGAGTTTTGTAACATTAGTACAATTGTCCTCGTGTTCCAGTGAAAGAAACAGAAAACCGAAGGAGTTTTTGTCTTGCCAATAATATGCCTTGTGAATGGTACAGCCAGGATTTGAATACAGATTTTCTGTCTCTAAAGCCAAACTCATTTATGTTAGGTTGGATAATGATGGGCAAAAACCCAAGCAAGGTACTGTCACATCACAGAGAATCTTAACTGTCAAACTGGTAGAACTTTATGTTATTATCAGGGCTTTTGTAGGGTTCTAAACAAGAACACTAACTTAGAAAAGTCAGTCTGGCAATAGTACCAAAATAGGTGGAAAGTTCCTGGTTCCATGTTGGTATTGTATTATTTCGACATTGTTTGGGTTGGCAGAAGTAAAAATTGGAAGGCAGGATTCTGAAAGAAGATATATATATATATATATATATATATATATATATACACTATCTGTTATGAAAGACATATATATATATATATATATATATATATATATATATATATATATGAGCGTGGGCATTAATTGGATCTAGAATTCAAGTAAAAAAAAGAGAATCAGAGATTGTTGTCATGTTTTAAGATTATAGACAGGGAGAATAGCAATAGCAATACTGAAAATAATGATGAGAATCTGTCCATTTAATACCACCAGCAGAAGATGCTTGATAAGAAGAAAGGCAATAAGTCACTCAGTTGAAAGAGTTGAAGAAGCAAAGTCAAGGCTAGGGTACAAATCTGAGAGTCTTCTTTGTCAACATTGGAGTTGAAAATGATAAGGATTGTAGTGTTTTCAAAGGAAGAGCCTTGCAAGAGGGCCAGGGACCAAAGCAGGGGAGACTTTGCTTGCTGCATAGAGAAGAAGAAAGCAGAGTAGTTGAAATGATTGCAGAGAAAAATGTTGTGCTTATTTCAAAACTCAGGGGAGGAAAAGATTATTTTGGGGGGAAGAAACTGATTGGCATTGCTAAGAGCTACAGAGGAGTCAGAGTGAGAACTGGGTGGAAATATGGAGGATCCCTCCTTTCTTCTGATAGAAGGCCACAGCTGAGTATGGAGAGTCCAGCTCCACAGCAGTGTGGGAGAGTGAAGGTAAGTTCCAGAGCACTAGTAAGAGGATGGAGGTGATAGGGTTCTTGAACTTGGAGGGGCTGGGTACTTCCTGATGTTTCTGTGTAAGCCCTGTGGCCTGACCAGCTTCCCACCTTTGAGTGATAGCATTTTCCTGTCTCCATCACTATAAAGTTCATCTATAGTGTATTTTTAATTTATGATTTTACAAACATATAACAAATGTACGCGTGATAATCCAATAACACATAAAACCAAGATATTAGGTACTTTTTATCACCATATCATGTGTGGAGCCTTCAAATTCTGTCTTCTAGTTCTTCATGAAACATGTGCTCTTGTAAACTAGTTGCCCACTGTGCTGCAAGGTCTGAAACACCAGTCCTCTGTACCAGTACTTTTGTGTCTAGCCTCCCTCCATATTCCCTCCGACCTCCAGAAGTCACTCTACCCTCGCCTTTGAAACTGACATAGTTATAACTTTAGCTTCTATGCTTAAGTGAGAATAGATTGCATTTTCTGTGTCTTCCCCTTCCATCCATGTTATATTATCCTAGCCTGTGATACATACTGTGTTTGGTTACCTAGTCATCTCCTGGTTGGTTCCCTCCCTTGGCAGTTGCTTGTAGAGCAATGATAAATGTGGAGAAGAAGCAGGTTTCTCTCTCCCATGCTGACTTCATTTCTTTACACACACACACACACATGCACACACACGCGCGCGCGCGCACAACACACACACACACACATGCGCGCGCGCACACACGCAGTAGGACAGCTGGATGGCGATTGGTCTATTTTTAGGTTTTGTGGAATGTCCATACTGCTTCCTATAATTGCCTTACTAATTTACATTCCCACAAATAAGAGTTTGTGAGAGTTTCTCCATCCTTGCTGTGTATTTTTTGTTTTGTTTTGTTTTTGCTTTTTGGAAAAAATAACTGAAGAACAATGATATCTCATTGTGGTTTTAATTGCATTTAACTAGGGAAACTGAACATTTCTCACATGCTTATTTGACACTTGTGTTACTTAATCAAGAAATGTTCATGTAGATGATGATTCGTCCATGTGAAGAGATTATTTTGCTGTGAGGTTTTTCAAAACCCTGATATATTCTCTTACTAACTTGTCTGAGGAATGAATGTTTTGTAAATGTTTCCCCATACTGATGGTTATTTTTTCATCCCTTTAATTTAAGCTTTATTTTTATTATTGTGCGTATGTGGTTTGCCTTCATTTATATAACCGCACCACGTCAATGCTTGGTGTTATAGAAATCTGTAAGATACTGGGAACTGAATCCAGGTCCTCTGCAAGAGCAGCCAGTGTTCTTAACCACTGAGCCAGTTAGCTTTATTACTGAACACCTGCTATGCCACATTGGGCATAAGACAGATTTATTATGCTTTATAAGAAATGCCTCTGTGTAACAGGTTAACACATCATGAAGGTCTTTGGTATAATTCCTTCACAAGGACACAAAAAGTGTAGTGTTTCTTTTCTCGAGGTTGAGATGCTCTTTCGACGCATGTTTAGAAAATAAACCTGTGCTTGAGCGCCAGCCCTAAGTTGAACATCTCCTTCTGTAATAAAAATAGATGCAGGTAAAAGTCACTCACAAAAGCACTAGCTATGCTCTCTGCAAAATCCAGACAGCATGGCTGTAACCATAGCCACGGCTTCCTGCGGCCACTTCTGGCCACATTAAAGAGGAGAAATGGGAGAACTTCACCTCATCCATGCCGATGTGGGTGAGAGATTAATGTTGCTTTTGTCACCTGGGAACAGGGAATGGGGGGGGGTTATTGTGGTGTAGGATGAATATTTGCACGAAAGACATGTTTACTATTTATCCCGCCTGATGTCTTGATGTTTGCTTCCTAAGGGTCCCCCTGGCCCCATGGGTATCCCAGGTCCGTCAGGCAAGAGAGGCCCGCGGGTGAGTAGATGGACTTACTCATGCTGTCAGAAAGAAGTGTAAGATCCCAGGGTGTTTTGCTTTTTCCTAGCGCTGGGCAGTGTGTACATCCTCTGGAAACACGTGTCTTCACACTCAGCTCCTCCAATGAAGTGTTGTTTGTGTCAGTGTAGGCAGCTGAAGAGCTCTCTGTGAAAATGCCCAGGGAATAGGATCAACCTCTGAGAGCTGTGACTGCTTGGCTCCTTTATTCTTAGTTATAATGTGATGCCAGAGTTTGAAGGTAAGTTATGTTTGGGGAATGAAGGGGGTCAGATTGTATAGCAGTAAATATAGGAGTCATTGACTAGGAAAAAAAATGAAGGATTTTTTTTTTTTTTTATGGATCAGCAGCAGTTTCTCATGTTACATGGGTGCCACAAACATGTTAGTGTTCTGTTAACGCCTGAGAAATAAATGTAGCGTTTTGCTGGAGAAAGTCTTCCTCAAATAAACTAGAAAAATGATTGTGTGCTACTAAGACAGATGCAAATGACTTTAATGTAATCGGCTTTCTTTGCACCCTTATTTATATCACACTAAGAACTGAAAGCCAAGACACTGTACAATATTACTCTACGCTCTCTGTGTATCCACACCACATGATTGTGCATTTGGAGGCTAAGACAAATTTCCAGTGTGTCTTACTCCTCTTTGGCATTTTCTGGACTCTGGAGTTGATGGTCTATCAGGCCCTCCCACACCCCCTCTGGCCATTGTCTATTCCCTGTACTCCAGCATGTCTCCAGCACACCAGTCTGTCATCTTCACCCTTCCACCTTCTGTGAGGAGACTTTTGGAACCTGCTTTCCTTCTCTCGGCTCTTGTTTGCGCTGATTCTATTCCCTCTTTACTCCAAGACTATTGTTTTCCAACAGGATTTCCTGCAGGTTTTGAATCTCAAACTGCACTAAAGACACATGAGTCCCCATCTCTCATGTCCATCCCTCTTTTATTTGCCCAACCTGCTATCACCTAAGGGGAGAACAGTCTGCTCCTTAGAACTAGTTATTTCCGCTGCGATCCTGATTGCACCCCTTTAATCAATTCTCTAACTGGAAAGCTGCATCTTTGCAAATTCTCTCTCCCTAAATTTGGTACTGTTTGGTCACAACCAACAAGTCGTTGCTCTTTGAAAAATCACAAACTTTAATAGATACATGTTTTTTTTTTCTAAAGCCATAGTGGTGGCTCATGTTGCACTGCTGAGTTTTGTGAAATAGGGGTAAACCTTGAAATCTACGGCAACAATTCATTCATTCATTTCAATGTTTCTCCCCATCTGCTTTTCTTTCTTAAGTTCATTAATGTCCTAGACTGTAATAGTTTCTCCCTAGTTTTATTCTTATGAGACGGATTTTCATTGTCAACATGGTTGAGTTGCCCAGAACAGTTTTTCCTGAGGAGGCGTAATTGCTGAATCAATATTGTGTATTAAGGTATACACCTAGAGAACACAAAGGCAGGAGAACAAAGCCCATCAGGCAGCCCTGAAGCCTTCAGAAGAAGTCTCAGTCTCTGTGCTCAATGGCTGTGTGAGCTTAATTTTCCATTCGTGAATAAGAATAACGTAGCTGTCATGCAGGGTGTTGTATGAGCTAGTAATGAGAATTGTCAAGTATGTTCATAGCTCAAGGCTCAAACTAGGCTCTCAAGGAATACAATCAATTTTTTAATTCAGGTGATAGTAATCTATCAGCAAAGTACAATCAAATTGGCAAACATTCAAGTAGCTGCTAGAATACTATATGGAATACCAGACTAGTACGATAAAAATCTCTTCAAAATATTTTAATCCTGAAACTAAATAGCACAAGTCATGATGCAGTTGAAACAGTAGCACTATATTTACACACAGACTAGAACAGCATACAATGACTGGAGGCAACATACTATGACTCACATGCAGTAGTCTCAGCAGAAGGTGTCTAGAGACAGAGGTTACCTCATGACGACGAATCCAAGGGTTTTGTTGTTGTTGTTGTTTAACCCAAGATTTTAAAAGGAAGATAGAACCAAATTGAGATTTGAGGAAGTATTTGGATAGATGCGGCAAAGTTAATGAAGTGAGAATTTAGGAAAGTCATTATCCCATAAGCACATCTTGGCTTATGAATGGGTGCACAGGTTGAAGAGTACAGAAACCAAACAAACACATATTGGTGGGCTTCTGACTCTTCACAGCTTAGATGGAGAAGTAAACTCTGTGTCTGGACAAAGATGGTGGATAGTGCCACACATTGAGGCAATATTTGATGTAAAAGTTGGACTCTGTATTCTGCTGTCTGAAAAACATAGCCATTCATTCCAAGACTAGAATAGCAAAGGTAGCAGAAGGAATAACTTAGAAAATATAATTTCATTTTTGCTTTTAGTATTTATCTTAAGTAGTCTATATTACATAATAGTTATATGGATGTCAAAAGAAGCCCTGTTTTTTATATCTGTTCTTAGAATAATGAGACATTTTCACTATTTGCAGGGCATTCCAGGACCACATGGAAATCCTGGGTTACCTGGGTTGCCAGGTCCAAAGGTGAGAAATTTCTGTTGAGCATCATGTCACTTTCCTGACATCTTAAAAGAATGTTCTCTGCTTTCCAGGCTAGAATTGGGACATAGAAAGTCTCTGACAATCCTAGGTCTTGGCTCTTTAACAAGATTTTCTGGACAGGTTGTTCTGGGTAGCATAAAAAGGGGACCCATGAGGAGCGGCCAGTGAGCAGTATCCTTCTCTGGCCTCTGCTTTAGTTCTGCCTTCAGGAACCTGCCCTGCTTGAATCCCTGCCTTGGTTTCCATCCATGATAGGCTGGGATTGGGAAATGAAAGCCAAATAAACCTTTTCTTACCTTAGTTGTTTTTGGTCAATATTTAATTACAGCAATAAAAAGCAAAATAGCCTATCTAGATGTTATTGCCCCTTTATATACGCAATGTCACTTAGTCTGAAGGTGTTTTGGGTCTTGTTTTGTTGAGATAAAGGTTGTGCTGTGTCAGCATGGTTAGTGTTGAACTCCTGAACTCAAAAGATCTCTCAGCCTTCCGAGTGCTGCAGGTCCCTGCACTTTCTTCTTTGCCAAGTTTATAATTTTTATCGTTATTACTGTTATTTAATGAGTTGGGTCCTTAAACATTAAACTACCATGCAAACAATTTCTTAGATCAACAATCTTGTAAACAATAATGTGCCACTGTAGTCACTGGTAGAAATGACGATGGCTCTTAACAGACAATCTGGAGAACAAACTTCCCTCTCAAAAAGTTTCTTTGACGAATGTAGGATTCTTAGTTATATTTCTAATTTGCATCTAAATTTGTAATTGGTCAAAGAAAAGACTGAGCATCAGGTGGGGCTTCTCCGCTGGCCATCTCTTCTTGGTTGGTCAGCTCTTGGGGTGTTTAGAAGCATCCGTAAATCCACGAAAGAAGATGCAGTTACTTTTCTCTCTCACAAATAGTGGAAATAGTATTTATCTTAGCTGAAAATGGTAATAAAATTCAGAGCTGACATTTTAAAGACTCTCCACGTGCCTTCTCTATTTTATGAGGGTCTGACAAATACTTTGAGGAAAAGACACATTACTCCTAAGCATTTGGAGCCATCGATTTTCTATTGGCAGTACAGAATACCATAGATAGGGACATTTATGAAAGAAAAAAACTTCATTCTAGCCTGTGGTTCTAGATGCAAAATTTAAGGTCAGTCATTTGAATCAGCTTGCTGCGGGGAGAACCTTTCATCTGCCTTCAGCAAATCCCCTGTCCCTACAAACATTGAGTACTTAAACTTCAACATGAGTTTCAGGAGGAAAATCCCACAATAGCATCACAGGAAAGATTATTTTATATATTTATATATATTATATATTTATTTATATACTTATACTTGACATCATATTTCTCTTGAAATATAAAAGAATTCACTGACTGTGGAAAGCATCTGTTTTAACAACAGAATAGATTTTAACAGTGTCTTCTTATTTCTCTTCTTTTCTTAATCATAAAAGTTATACTAGCATGCACTTTCGAGATTTTGAAAAAACACTCAGGTAAAATCATATGGTAAAATGTTAGGTTTTGTGATAAGCAATTTCCTCTCATTAAATTATCATCACCAGCTATAACAATACCATTATTATTAATGTGAAATAATTATTAATAACAAAATAACATATTTAGCTAATAATAGCAAAAAAATTTGTTGTGTTTCAAAAGTAGCAAAGGTAGTGTAAACTTCACTATTTGTGTAAAGAGAATAGTTTTAATAGTGATATTACTTACTGTTTAGGTTTTGAAATTTCATTTCTACCTAGGAAGTTATTAGGGATCTCAGCTTTTACAAATCAGACTAAAAGACATGCTAGAAAGAAAAAAACTCATGTCTAGCTCAAAGGTTCTTTTCTCTATTTTTTATTCATTAACATTTTGTCACACCAGACTAACAGGTTCTAGTCATTGCCGTGTTGAAGTGTCCTCTGTCACCCTCTTCCCTTCCCCACTGAGAGTCACCATCTGACTTTCCGTCTTCTCTTCATTGGTGACCCACTGAGGTTCACTGGAGTTCCTTGCACGCATGAACGGACCTCTGTTTACTGGTGCCTGAGTAACTTACCAATGGCCACATTGCTGAAGAAATGAAGAAAGCCATTAACTGCCACCATTTCCTCAAGGAAGGCTCCTGCTCCATTCGTGATGAAATGCTGAAGGGCTGCTCTTGGTCTTGTAGTGAAAACCATAGCTGTTGTGAATCCATGAATACAAAATAATGTTATTTAATATCACACACTGTGTATGGACTGAACATATGGGCACAAGTTCTGAACCCAGTAGCACATACATGTCCCAAACCCGGTAGCATCTTTGGACAGATGACTGAACACATTAGCACAAACCATGTACCTCATGCTTCACAAAGTGTCTCTTAACTCTCATATTCAGGGCCCCAAAGGAGATCCTGGGTTGTCGCCAGGCCAAGCTGCTTCTGGAGAAAAGGTAATTATTTTTCAATGAATAAGAATGTTTTATTTATTTTTAATATTTACAAATAGAAGTTTCTAGGGGTCTGGGAAGATAGTGTAACAGGTGAAGTGCTTGCTACACATGCATGAGGACCTGAGTTTGGATCCCTAGCAACCACATTTTAAAAATGAATATCATGGGCTGTATTAGGGTAGGCAACTTCAGTGCTGGGAGGCAAGAAAGGCCACTCTTAGAGGCTTACCCCAAATTCCAGGTTGGGTTAGTGACCCTGCCTCCAAATGTAGGGAAACAGTTATGGGAAGATACCCAACTTTATCTCTGGCCTCCATTATGTATATATGTGAATGCGCACGCACACACACACACACACACACACACACAGAGAGAGAGAGAGAGAGAGAGAGAGAGAGAGAGAGAGAGAGAGAGAGAGAGAGAGGAGAGATAGTACTTCTCACTCTTTAAACATATTTTACATATTTTTGGTATGGCCAGAGCAGAAAACTGTCGAATTTTAACAAAGGCATATTTGAAAAGTTAAGTAAACTCCATTGTCAGCTTCACCTGCTGATTTGTCTTCCCATTACCATTATTAAGTGTCTTTTAGGCTGACGTGTGTCAGACCCAATGAATGGGCAAAAGTGTTGGAGCAGAATGTGGTTTTTCATTTGTGTTTGTTCCTTTGAGACAGAGTCTCATGTAAATCAGGGTGGCCTCAAACTCCCTGTGTTTCTAAAAATAACATCTCTTCCCCAAGTGCTGGACCACAGGCGCTGTATCACCATATCTGGCCCAGGACCTGTTCTTAACCTTGAAGGTTTTACTGTTAAAATGTATGAACACTTAACACCTAAATACAAAGTCATGTGTTTTAGGAATGTTCTAGATCCTTTACATGAGTGGTTCTCTACCTTCCTAATGCTGCAAACCCTTTAGTACATTTCCTCATGTTGGGGTGACCCTCAACTATAAAATTATTTTTATCACTACTTCATAACTGTAATTTTTTCTCTGTTATCAGCTGTGATGTAAACATCTGTGTTTTCTGATGGTCTTAGACAACCCCTGTGAAAGGGCCATTCAACCCCAAAGGGGCTGTGACCCACAGATTGAGGATCACCACTCATTTATACATGGTATAAAAGGCTAGCTAGCTACTGAGAGGCAGTTTTTATGCCATATCTTCTAGTTATAAAGACCAGAGCAGGTAGACTTTAGGTCCATTACTTAAAGGTAGTAACTGTTAGAATTAATGATAGAGCTAAGCTTTCTAACTTCTAATTCAGGGTGCTTTTCATGCCATCTTGACACTCTGAAATTTGTGCATAAAAACTAATGATTTAAATTAAAAATAGCAACAAACTCCTAATTGGAAGGATGATGCTGATTTTCAGTAAGAATAGGTAACAAATGAATTTTTAAATTTTATTTTGTTGTTAGGGAATTAGCAATGCTCTTTATTAATTATTTTTATTTTTATTACTTAAATTTACTATCTGATTATTTCATAATATACAGTGCATTCTGATCTCTCTTAACTCCTCCCCACCCTTGTCTACACAACTTCTTCCCTTTCTCATACTCTTATCTGTTGTGTTTTTTGACCTTGCTTAACCATGACATCTTTATGGAGCTGTTCTCTGGAGCCCTGGGGGCTCAGCAATCAGTGCACAGCTAAAGACAATGACTGCCCAGCTTCCAGAATCTATCAATAGAAAATATTGCAGGAGTAAGAAGTAGGGTCCAATGAGCCCCTCCCCCACCTTTGATTGACTGTTGAGAGGACTGTAAGGAGTATGGTTTTTCCGCCCACCGCCTGGTCTTGTCCTGCCGCCACGCCGCCAGCCTCAAATAATGCACAGAGACTCTGTATTTGATATTATACTGTTGGCCAGTTACTACTTTCTTATCGGCTAGCTCTGTCTTAAGTATTAACCCATTTGTGTTAATCTATATATTTCCACGTGGTCTTCTTACCCAGAGCCAGCTGCTGCGTACTGCTCTCTCCAGACTCTCCATCCTGATTCTTCCTTACTACTTCCTCCTTGTCTCCTAGTCCCTCCTATCTTCCTTTCCTATTGGCCAACAGTGCTTTATTTATTAACCAGTATGAGAAACATATACAGAATGACATCTCCCATCATCTCCTCTTTTCTGTCTAAATAAAAAGAAGGGTTTTAACCTTAACATAGCAAAATATATCACATAACAGTTATCAAATAAGAATCACAGTTAACACTATTTAGTCCATTAACATTTAGCAAGATTTGAAGAAAATATTCCATCATCTATTTTATCTTTGTGAATTAAAGTCCTATATGTAATTTATCTTTAAGCTTAACTAAGGAAAACTATAACCATAACTATCTGTCTTCAACTCCATCAAAGACCACAGAAGGATAGTATATAAACTCTAGAAATGACAGAGACAACTCACTGCCTGGTCACCTGAAGTTCTTTTGTAATCTTCCATCTTCAGCCCATAGGCCATAGTGTGTCTGGCAGACTCTTCAGCAAAGCAGGAGACTTTAAACTGTCTTCTTGTATTGGCAGTTTGTCCGTCACTTTTCGCTGTGTCCTGCAGACTGTCTGGCAGACTCTTCCATGAAGCAGGAACTCTATAGCAATGTCCATCTTGAATCAGCAATCACCTTTCTGTGGGTCCTGCATGTCCAGTTTATATAGCACAAAGTCAAACAGTCCAGACAATAGCAGTATCTTGTCCAAATGGCTAGTCTTGCCATATTGGAAGTAAACTCCATAACGAGTTTCTTCAATGTCCAACTTCATCTTCCTTTTTGATGGTGTTGCCAAGAGCAATTATGTCTCACTGTCACGAAAACCCTAAACCATTTTAAATGCCATATTCTGTAGGTCTTTGAAAGGTTTGAAGAATGCCTATCTATCTCAAATACATCTCTGCATATCTAGAAAACCTAACTCACCTAGCTATAAGTTTTGACTACTATAAGTAACTATTTAAAATCTGTACTAAATTATACATTACATTTTTAAATGAGCTATATAAACACAATACCTAAACAAAATGAGAAATATACACATCACAAAATTGACCTTAAAATGTATCAATAAATGAAAATCCATTCCAAAACAAAGTATTCATAGCTATACCACAATTCCCTTTTTTACCTTTAAAAAGAGATTGGTTGTAGTCATTAACCATTTATAACTAACCCCATTTAAATGAAAACAAACATTTATAAACAATATTTGGGAATTTGGGCGTCGTTCTTTCCAAACTACTTCCTGCTGACAGGGGGAGCTGTCATTGGGGATCCTAAGAAGATGCAGAAATCCTGGCTGTAGTCTGTAAGGCTGCCTTGTTCTAGCTGTTTTGAATGTTGGATCACCAGGAACGTTGTTTCAGGGGGTCTGGCTTGCTCAAACCACATTAGTCTGGAAGGAATCCACAGCTTTTTATTTTCTGTGGAAACAAAAATAGAAATCCTTTTCCCCAGTAACTTGTCCTTGAACTTAAATTTTGGATCAAAGCATGTTTAAAACATATAAATTGAATTAATTCAGCAGCATTTGTTTTAACAGTTGTTTCCTCAGCAGTCAAACAATACAAAGACATTTCATCTTTACGTGGCTTTATTATTACTCCATTTTCTTTTACTTTTTATTTTTTGAGACAGAATTTCTCTGTGTAACTCTTATCTGTCCTGGAATTCACTCTGCATACCAGGTTTACTTTGAAATCCCAGAGACTGCTTGCCTCTGTCTCCCGAGTGCAGGGATTAAAGGTGTGTGCCACCACACCCAGTTACTCTTTGTCTCTTTAAAACCATTTTTTTTTCTTCATGTCTACGTATATTTTAAAACACACTGTAAACGTTTGGCGCTTTTTCTTAATGTGAATCTGTCTTTACTGCAAATCTTTTTATAGCCATGAGTCTTTTATCAGGTAAACAACAACATTGCTGAAATGAAAGTCTTTATTGTTTCTGCCTCGGTTATCAAAGATGGCGGCAGCTAAATTACCGCCAGCCCTGAGAGCTGTGGTCACCACCTTGGTCTGCTTGCTGCTGTCCAGCAAGGATGCTGCCGGCTTGGGGATGTGGTCACTGCCGTTGCCATCTCTCATACACACCAATAAATTGTTAGCAGTGCTTTTTAAAAGCCGTGCTTTTTTTTTTTTTTTTTTTTTTTTTTTTGCCGCTTATGCTGAGTCAGGAAACCTCTCTTAAAGGAGCAGCACAATCTGCTTGTCTCTCGCAGAGTACAACCGAGAAAAATGCTGTTACCAAGAAACCTTGCTTGTCTCTGTTCTTTTGTTTCTAAAACCCTTTTTTTAAGCTTCTGTTAAATTTTAAGTGGAAGTTCTTACTAGCCATGTTGGGCGCCATTTGTAAGAAGTACGGTTTTTCCTCCTGCCGCCGCTGGTCTTGTCCTGCCGCCGCGCCAGCCCCAAATAATGCACAGAGACTCTGTATTTGATACAATACTGTTGGCCAGTTACTACTTTCTTATCGGCTAGCTCTGTCTTAAGTATTAACCCATTTGTGTTAATCTATGTATTTCCATGTGGTCTTCTTACCCAGAGCCGGCTGCTGCATACTGCTTTCTCCAGACTCTCCATCTTGGCTCCTCCTCCCTACGTCCTATTTCCCCCTTGTCTCCTAGTCCCTCCTATCTTCCTTTCCTATTGGCCAACAGTTCTTTATTCATTAACCAATATGAGAAACATATACAGAATGACCTCTCCCATCAGAGGACCAATTAAGTAACCCCACTGCTGAGCCTCTGTGATGGATGTTTTGCACCCACAGGGTGGCTTTTCACAGCCTTTCCCTGTCTCCTGGCTCTTATTTCCTTCTCATCCTTTCCTACAGTGTTGCCTGAGCTTTAGAGGGTGGGGTCTTGTGTGGTCTGGGTCTACAGCGGTCATTCATTCTTTGGGCAGCCATGAAGCTGCATTCACTGTTGTTCACTGGCAGGATGGATTTGTGGTTTATAGGCTTCACAGCCTTGTTAGACTGCTGATACCATTTCAACCCCCGCTGCCTGAATCCAGCATCCTGGCATGATAAATCCAGCAGGGAAGTTCCAGCTTGACTACAATTGTTTCTTTGATATCTTAGAGCCAAGGTGTGTGGTGTCCTCAGCCATAGTGTCTTATCCTCCGCTCCAGGGTGGTGGTGGGGAACAAGAGGTAGAAAGAAGTCTGTATTGTTTGGGGGCATCCCTGAGCAACCACTCCTGCAGAGGTATTGCACCATTTTATTTAGAGAGCACTTCTTCCCGGAGAGCAGCATTCTCTAACCATGCTGGGTATCCTTCTTTAATCTCTTTCCCATTTTTAAATTGGGCTACAAGACCGTTTTTATGCACTCTTCGTTTTGGCTAATCTCCTTCCTCACCTCCTTGACTTTACACATGTATGTTGTTGGTTTCATCATCTGAGATGAGATCTCTTTAAGCAACCCAGGCTTGTGGAGCGCATGACCCTCTGGCCTTGGCATCCTGAGGCTGAATGCCATCACATTTTGTTGCTAGTGGAGTCTGTAAGAAGACATTTGAAAAGCTTTGATAAATGCGACACAACTATAAGATGGTTTTGATTATTGTTTTAGAATCACAAGTTAAAAATGATTCCAATGATTCCTGGGCTGAAATCTGATCTTGTAACTGGCTTACAGAAACTTTTATAAACTTAAAGCCTCATCAAAAATCCTCAAAAAATAATTTAAACCTTTAGTAATTTTCTTTCTGTTGTAAAACTGAGTTTATAGACTCCATAAAACACATAAAGGAAATCCAAATCTATTTCCAGAAAGAAAATATCTTCATTGACCTGGTCATCATTAGGAGGAAAAATACTAGGCGATCTGAGAAATACAAATGCCATGTTTTAAAATACCTAAATATAGCATGTTCACTCTCTTATTAAATGTTGGAATTAGAGGTCAGCTCTGTTTGTGACTTCAAAATAGAGGCTCCAGATTAAACATAAGCATTCATATCAAATGTTTGGTTTTAACTTTCTGTGATTTTTTTTTGTACAAAATATAGGGTGGCTCAGTATGGGAGTGGAAATTTTTTCAAGTTTCCACTTGAAGTGCTTTCCCCTTTGACTTATTCACGTACTAACTGTTGGTAATACTGTATATAAGAAATGCAGTTAGATATAAAATTAATATCACTCTGCCCTTGGGATTTAAGTAAAACTCAAGTTTTAAAACTGACAGATGCATTTTCCTGCTCTTTGTCCTTCTCAGTGCAAGGGCTGACCAAGCCTTAAGCGTGACAGGCAAGTGCTATGCCACTGAACTATGACACCAGAACTCTCCTTTCGTGTGTGTGTGTGTGTGTGTGTGTGTGTGTTATCACGTGTGGGAATGTGTATGGTGTATATGTGTGTGTATGCCTGCTTGTGTGTATATACCTAGTGTGTATGTGTGTATGGGGGGGTGTAGGGAGAATTCACATGCCACAGCATATATGTGGAAGCCGGACAACCTTGACTGTTGGGTTTTTGCCTTCCAGTGTGTTGGAGACAGGGTCTCTTTGTTGCTCACCACTGCAAAAGCCAGGCTGGCTGAGCCACAAGCTCTCGGGGATTCTCCTACATCTGTGCTCATCCTGCCAGAGGAGCGCTGGTGCTGCAGCGGTGACCTATGGCACCCAGCTTCAGCTCCGGAGCATTTCAGCCAGGTGTCCATGATGTGCAGCAGGCACTTTACCCACGCATCAGCCCAGACCTCTTCATCCCCACAATTACATTTAGGGGGAGCATTTCATTAAATTGCTCAGGGTTGCCTATAATTCTCTTTGTAGCCCAGGTACACTATGAATTTGTAATACCTCTACCTAACTTTTCAGAGCAAGAAGGATTACAGGACTGGATCACCAACTCTGCTGGCAGGGGTGGAGGGGTGGGGATGGGCTTCTAAAACAATGAAATAAAAAAAAAAAAATCTCTCAGAAACCGCATTCGTATTAAATGTGAATCTTCCTCTTTGCAGGGCAACAGATTGGTTGTGGGCGAATAAATGAAAAGCTAACAAAAAAAAAAAAATCTTGCTCCTTTATTCCTCAGGACAGATCCTCATCAAGGCGGGTGGAGTCAGCCTAATCCAGAGTTCAGTTTTGCTCCGAGCCGTGGTCACTGCACAGAGAAAGGTGTCAGTGAAGCAGGTGACCCTTCCTCTGTGCACTTGAAGTCTCCCTGAGAGACTCACCTCAGAGTTCCACCCAAAAGGGGAACTACCCAGAGTAGCCCTGTGGAAGGTTTAAGGAAACTCCTTTAGATAGTGTAAACTGTCAGTAAAATTGGCAAAGGCATTCCTCGAGAATAGCATAGAAAAAGAGTGAAAGCTTGCAAATGGAAAAGATATCAGGTGTTCAATACTGGAAAAGGTTAGGAAGCCTTGCGGTGGCAGAGGGATGCCAGACAAGTCAGAAAGGATGCTGGGCAGGACTGAGAAAGAATGAGATGGAGCTTAGGCCAGATTGTCAAGTCTATTTTCTTCTGTGGTATTAAACCTTTGTGTTTTGTTTACAGGGTGACCATGGTGTTTTGGGATTAGTGGGCCCTCCTGGTTTGCAAGGTGAAAAGGTAAGAGTTTACGAGTTTCTCCCCGGTGTAACTGAATGCTAGATGTATCTCAGAATGCTTCTATGGTTGTAATCCCATTTTGAGGTTGAGGCTTACACTGATGCCTCCGATCTCTCTGCTCTGCAGAAGAAAATTCATCAGAAAAGTTTAACCATGATAATCCAGAAACTTAATATTCACTAAAGATGAGATCTTGAGGATAAGAAAAGACCCTTGAGTTTAGTAATGGAGACCAAATTCTCACGTAGGACAAAGTCAACTCAGCACCACAGGCAGGGTATTAACATCCTCCCTCTTTTAAGGTATAGTAACCTGGCATCTTAATTCTGAGGCTGTGCTGTCTTCTTATACCATTATACCAAGGTGAGATGTCTATCAGTAATGCACCTGGATGCTTTCAAGGGTTCCCGCTCATGAGAAAGTAATGACCACCATGATACATCAGTAAATATGAGCCTGAGGAGCAGTTTGCTGGTCAGACTTTGTGTTGCTGTGAGACATACCTGAGTTAAGCAGTTCAAAGGGAGGAAGGACTTAATTTGTCTCATAGTTCATAGATTTCAGTCCTTGGGCAGCTGGCTCTGTTCTTCATCTGTTAGTGAGACACAGCATCAGATGGGAGGGGCAAGGCCACTCACCTAATGGTAGCCAGGGATCAGAGGTAGAGAGAGGCAATGGACAAGATTGGTCCAAGAACCCATCTACTTCTTCTAGTCAGGTCCTTCATCCTAAAACTACCAGCACCTCCCCAGATACCTGCACTAGCTGTGACTGTACCTTCCACACACAAGGGTCATGAGGGGAAGGCACATCATTTCCATTTTGTGACAGATTGCACAATGTGAGTACTGGCGACAGCTGGTAAAGGGCAGTAGTCTCGAGTGTGCATAGCAAGCCACTTAACTGTTTCTTTTTGACCCAACTCAGCCACTGTAAGTAGCTCTTTGATAAACAAACTGCCTGAGGTTGATGAGATTTGGCAATAGCTCAGAGAAGAGTTGAAAATTCAAGATGATGATGTTTTCTTTCTGAAAATGTTTCCTTCTTGTTCTAATTGCACCCATTAATGGAAGCTGAGCACAGAGTTTTGAAACCTAGGCAATGTTAAGAATGCAAAGGACATAAGTATACGATGGAAATGCAAGCTAGTTCTTTACTTTGCTGGACTGAGACAAGTTCCCATTTGTATGAATATGTGACCTACATGTAAAACGAGTTTGTTGTGCTTTACTGTTCCTCCTGTATGGAAGGATAAAAGCAGATACTATTTGGTAGAATGTCCAGGCAAATAACCACCTTTTTAAAGTTGAACTCCTTAATTCAGTTTAGCTTAATTGTTTGGTACAATTTAATTCACAGAGTTGGTTCCTACAAATAGGGCCTGTGCCAGAAGAACCTAGAATGCACACTTGTATTAGCACTGTCCTTCATTCTTACAGTCTGCCCCCAGGGAGGTAGATACATTCCTAAGCTCAAGTCAATACTTAAGTTTCTCTAAGTGAGAAAGCTAAGAGTGGCCAAGAAAATTGCTCAGCATCACGAAGAGTTACAGCAGGATCAAGATAGAAAATATATGGAGGCTGAACCTGTGGGTTTTTAACTGTGCACATGTTCATGATGAGATGTAAATCAGGTGCTCAGCTTTTGACTGACATGAACTAGTCACATCCTTTTATGGGTTGAGCCATTTTATGGATTACTTTGGTAACACTGCTAATGTCAAAAGTAACTATTTCATTGTGTGAAATGTTCTAGTCTGCTGAGCACTTTTTAAAACAACCCTGGGGTGTATATAATGCTGAACATTATACATAATCATACATACATTAACGGAAGTGTTTGTGGGCTAAATAATTCACCCACAGCCACACAACTCTTCGCGGGTGACCTTAGACACAGTCCTGGCCTGTTTGACACAAGTGACCATATTCTTGATAGTTTGTCATAGTATTTCCTGTGCCCCGCTTCTTTATTTAAGTCAATATTTATTTAGCGTTCCAGTTTGCCACATTTCTGCCTCCAGCCTGTATGAGAAGAGAGGATGATGATTTCCACGAGAGTTTGGGACAACAGATGCCATGATTCACTGCTCTGTTTCTCTGAAGAGGAGAAGAAAATATCAAAACTCTCCTCCTACAAACCAAACTCAGACTCAAGTGATATTAAAAACTAGAATGACTGCAAAGAAACTCATGAAAAATGCTGAAATAAATCAAGATTAATGTGGAAAGTTTTGACGACTCTAAGTACTATCGAGATAGAAATAGCGATGCGAGGCAGCTGAAATATTTTTTTATTATTATTGTTTGTTAACTCTCCAACAGAATTAAGTTAATTCACTCTTTCTTCCTTCAGCCTTACTTACCTCTATTTTTAAAATAGTACCAACATCTCTATCCAACAATGTCTGTCCCCTCTATTGACCTCTCGGTCACATTGCTTCTACTTAACCATCTTATAACTCTCATTTTCCTAGGAGCTAAAATATATTTTCAATTCCCACTTACTCATTTTTTTTTTGCCAAAACAGCAGATAAATTGAATCCAGAATGCATGCTGAGTTGGATAGAAGACAAAGGTTGTCAGTCCAAGCTGGATTCAAGATAGCTTTTTGAATTGCTTTATAAATAGCCCGTCAGCTGCTATATTAAAATTGGAAGCCACCTAGTTTGCCTTGTGAGAGGATCAGCAGTGTGATCAAATGAAAAAGTTTCCCTAGGTTCAAGAGGATGAGGGATGCAAGCGTTTAAAACACTTTATGACTACCAAAAAGCATAACTGTGTTTTAAACAATAGTTATAAGCCAACAAGAACTCGTGTTGTATTTGACTAGAATTGCTTCAGATATTTGAAAAAGTCCATAGCAAAAGATACAGCAAAAGCCTGTTTGAAACAGGAAAGAAACTGCTCTCATGGAGTCCCCTGAGATTTCCCAGTCCCTCAAAAGCTGTGTGAAGCAAGGATAGCACTGAGGAGCTATAACCATGCTGAATGTCAGCTGGGAAACCAATAAAAGAATCTATTGGCAAAGCAATGGGGCCCGAGGAGACAAAGTGAAGATTTCCCACCCTCCATTGCCAACTCTATACATCATTTCTCACTGGCCTGTCCTTCCTATAAAAGTCTGCAGAACTATTTCACCTTGGCTTAATTCCCAGCCCAATGTGGTACTAACATCCAAATCTGAAGCTGTGTGCCACCCTGTCTCCATGTCTGTGCTCTCCTCTTTCTAAAAACAGGGAACGAAGAGCAAGGCCACACAGTTCTGAACTCACTGAAATGGGAGCTAGGGATGGCCAAAACGTTGTCGGTTGGAAGGTTTTAAAAATATATTTCCTTCAGTCTGTCTTAGGTGGTTGACGTTTCAACATTGGCAACAAATTCATTTGACTTAAGTTATTTCAATTTCCACAATTATATCTATATTCTCAGAATTAGCTGCTGTCTGTCACTGGGCATTGCTGAGGTTAGTTTAGTACTTTATTTATTTTTTTTCCATTCAAAAGCTTGTTCAAGTTATTGTTCAATGAAGTATTAGAAATTAAAGCCTTAGACTGGCCAGGTGGTTCAGTGGGTAGAGCCACTACCCACCAAGCCTGACAACCTGAGTTCTATGTCTGGGACTTATGTGACAGAAGGAGAGAAGTGACTCCTCTGATTTGTCCTCTAATTTGCACACATGCACCCCAGCACATGTGTGATGCATGTGCGCACACACACAAATAGATAAGTTTAATAAAAATAAATAAATTTAAAATTAAAATCTCTATGTAAAACATAGGTCCTAAGCCCTATTTATGACTGGAGCATTTGCTGTGAAAATGTTATAACAAATTTAAGATGATTCTTAAATTTATTAATACATTTTAATCTGTTTTGAAATCGAGATATTAGTTTTCTTAATGACTTAGTTCCTTAAGGAAGGTTTTTACTCAACTCTTATCAGTGTATTTATTTTAAAAACCTGTTTGTTGTCAGTTTTGACCTTTTGGTGTTTACTCTGGTCAAATAAATTACTCAAAATCGGAATCTCCCTATCACCTAAGTAATTCTCCGACCCTCTTTTCTTCACTTCATTTACTCCATCACTTAATGACTACTCAGCGAGGAACTGAGATACCACACTGAACGCATGGAACCTAAGTTAAGTTTCACCTCCTTAAGGGGCCCAGGTATCTTCTCTAACTCCACTCCGGCCTCATTTGCAAGCATCTTTCATCTAGATTATAAGGGCCTTTGCCCAACCCACTCTCTTCCTTTCCGCTAACCGCAGGTTCCTCCTTCCAGTATGTGGGTGAACAACATAATCCTTTATTTTTGCTCACAGCTTCACATTCTTCTGTCTACGGTTCTTGAGCCCACTGATTGTGAGCCAATGATGGTGGACCCTGTGGTCAAGAGGGTGCAGAAGGGGCATTATTCACGTCATGTGATAAGGAAGCATAGATTGGAACAGATTGGGGGCCTGATGTAATCTCAAAGACACACCTACTTCCTCCACTCGGCCCCATGTCCAACTCCAGAGCAAAATAGTGCCACCACCTGAGGATTAAGTGTCCAACCTGAGAGCTATGTGGACCTTTCGTATTCGAACTGTCTTTGCTCTTGATCAAGTTATGAACCAACCTCGGGAGCCTGAGGTTGGTTTTGCTTTTAGGTACATCCATCTTGAATTTGTCCTGTGTCTTTAAACCTACCATGAGTCTCAGATCTGCTTTTCATCCATATAACTGCTAAATTTTTACAAAAGTAACAGAGTCCTCTCTGACAGATTTTTATGCTCACAGAATTCTTGCAACTGCAATTTAGCAATTACCCAAATCAATGCTATCATTTTACATAGGATGACGCTGGGGCTCATGATATGACTAGTCACTGAAAAGATTAGAGCCAGAACCCACTGTGCTTACTCTGTTCATGTTAGTAACACTGAAAACAGACACAGAAAACATCTTGTTTCACTTACATGCTTTTGATTGCAAAAGAGGGTTCCATAGGCTGTCACAAGGAGGTCAGACTTTCAGTCCCCTCTGCAGTAGCAAGGGAAATAGGGAGCACACAGGATCCTGTAATATGATGACCTTGTAGAGACAGTTGGATGCTGAGCAGCTCTGGATGCCCTAGGGGCACATTTGTGCATAAACAATGTGCATCCTTCTCTCTCTCTTCCTCTCTCCCTCTTCACCCTTCCCCTCATTGCCCTCTCCCCAAAACCCCTGTCTCCTTTTCCCCTTCCTGTCCTCTTTCCTCCAGTATGCCTTTTAGAATTGCCTTTCTTTTCCTCTGACAACCTCCCTCCTCAACATCATATCTGTTTACTCTTAATTGTTCCCGTTTTCTCGTCCTTATGCCATCTCACAGTCCCCACTAGGAAGTGCCTGAACATTTTGGTACCCTTGTTTTGTATGAACAGAAAAGTAAACACAATTGAAGCAGCTAATCTTTATTTAGACAATATTCCTCATTCTGAGTGATCTCTTGGGCTAACGGCCAGGCTTGGTATTGTCCTCACTTGGGTCAAACGCCAGCTCCCGGGGCTGTGGCCAGATGGGAATGAATTCATGAAGGACTGGCTCTAATGGATGGCGCTGCTGTTTTCTCAGGCTGTGACTGAAGCATCCTTGGAAGGGTCTGTGGGGAGGGCTGGCGCATGCAAAAGACACCATCATTAACTAATGCACCTTTCACTGTTAGAAAATGCTTCAGGGAAGGGAGTCCTGAGAAGGTAGACCAGTCCTTCACGCTGTGTCACTGTGGGTGAGGGAAAAAGGACATGCCAAGGAATAGCACAAAACACAGAGATATAGAATCAAACTCATGGGAGCAGAAGTAAGTGGAAGAGTGCACACTTCCTCAGAAAGGTGGCGGTGGGAGAGGACCCTAACTTCTGTGGCTCCTGTCCTGCCTCCTGGATTTTCAGTTCCTGTCTCCTAGGCTCTCCCTGGGAGCTCGGCCTCACCTCTTAGTACAACCACTGTGTTTGAGTTCTTACCTCCTACTCTGAGAACCTGAGTTGAGATCCCTGGCACAGTGTATGAAAGCTGCTGTGAGGCCGCTCTTCCATGCTCCAGCTCTGGTGAGGCTGAGGCGGGAGGGTTCTACTCTAGCTGAATCAGTAAGCTCCTGGTTCAGTAGAACCCTGTCTCCAAAAACAAAGTGGAGAGGTCTTGAGAAAGAACCACACATCAACCCGTGGTCTCTACACACACATGCACATTTATACACAAACAAACATACAGATGCATGAACATGTACACACACGTGTATGTACACATCAAAAAGAAAAAGGAATGGAAATTTTCTTGTTCTTTTATGTGAACAAAGTCTCTGGAAATGAGATATTGATTCACTGATGTTTGACTCTAGCTGTATAATAAGCCCTAGAGTTTCTTTCTCTCTGTTCTTTCTTGAACTTCTTTAATTCTGTTGTAGATTTTTCTAGTAGAAAAATTATACTATCTATTTTATAATGTAGGGTGCTAATGAGAGCAGTTAATATTTGTTCATTGGTTATCTTACCTGGAAAAGACTTGTATGGTTGATTTCCCGGATGGCTTTACAGGGCCGTTTGCAGGAATCCATGAACAACCTCTTTCCTTAGTCAGTTCATTCATGACTTGTAATGGTGACTGGATTAGAGGCAGGACTGGACGTGGTCCAACTTTTCAGTAATTGTAAACACATTATGTCTAAAAGAATGTTGTCTCTATGTGACTGAGCTAAACACAACTTTGTAAATGCCTCAGTAAATTTAATAGGTTCTTTGCTAGACTGGAGCCTTTTATAGCAGTTATTTTAAGAATTAGGGTTTTCTTTTATAGAAATTAAACTCTTACTCAAATTTAGCAATAAATCAAGAGACCATAGTATTGATTACAGAACCCGTAGGAATAAAAAGCTGACCAGAGGCTGCGTGTATGTTTCAGTGGTTGAGTGCTTGCTTTCCTGACATATATGCGGCTCTGGGTGCAATGTCCAGTGTTAAAAACAGAGCAAATAAACAAAGAAAATATCCTCAGTGTTTTAGAATCGATATTTAGTTATTTGACTGCCGTGTGTAAGATGATGTTCCATGCTATGTCTTTACTTATTTCCTGTAGGGTCTCAAAGGACATCCAGGGCTCCCGGGACACCGTGGGGAACAAGTAAGTGCATTCTTGTCTTCCTAGGAGACATAGATGGACATAAAGGGACACTCTGGAGGGATCACCTTTCTCTTAGCTTTTCAATTTTTCCTCACAGTTATTCCCATCTTATGTAGAGTGAAGTTAAAACCGTGTGATTAACTGTCTATAGACTACTAGCCACATTATGAACTAGCAATGTTTTACTGTTGTTCATTTATCTTTTCCTGTTGCGTTCAGAACGGTGGTTCCTAACCCTCTGAGTCACAAGTCCGTCTGAGAATTTTGTAACTGCCTCAGATCCTTCTAAGAAAGTACACATATCAGTAAGCACCAGACCTTTCATTCAATTTTAGGGTCTGGTTGGCTCACTAAATCCTAATCAGCAATTGACTCTAGGATGGACATTACATTGTTACCCATGTGTGCAGATATACACATATGTGCTGTTTAATTCAAAACACTTTTGCAACTGTTTGGGTTTTGATCATGTTATTACCTTTCTCTCCCACAAGAAAATAACAACATTGCCCTATAGGTAAAATACAATCATGGACAGGGAAGGGCAGGGATTAGAACTTGACTAAGGCAATGGATGCCATTATGGATGCTTCAGCAAAGCACCAGGGAGCCCAGAACAGAACTCCAGGATGAAAAGTGATGACTTGTCTCTGAAAGAAATACACAAATGAAGAAAGAAAACCAGATTTCTCTTTGATTCATATTAAGCAGGACAGCATGTCCGATCCAGTCCCTGGGGTGCAATTTTTCAAGATTACTAACTACCACCCATGGCCAGGAAAGTAGTGTGTATATCAGTAGCAGGTGCAGGGTTGGCTTCCTGAAGCTCAGACAAGTGCCGAAAGGCGTGTGAGTAGTTTCAGGGAAAAGTGTAAGAAGGGTGGAAGGAATCAGCCCCTGGGAGAAGAAAATGCCTGCACTGCCGCTTTGGCAGAAATATGCAGACTCCAGTGAAGGAACCCAATACATCAGGAGTCAGTGACAACTTGGCTCTGACAGTGACGAGTCCTCTCAACTGCTTGGTTATCTAGTTCTGTTAATTTACGTGTTATTGCTCGGGGGGGGGGGGAGGGGGGTAATGTTATTATTAAATGAGACATGTGAATTCAGTTTTAAAGATTGGAAAATGTGGGCCAGAGAGATCACATTGTCAAGCTTGCCATGCAAGCATGAAGACATGGGTTTGATTCCCAGCATGCACATAAAAGGGACAGAGGCTCCCTGGGTCTCACTGCCTGGGGAGAATAGCCCACTTGGCAAACCTTGGCTCTGAATGAGAGAGCCTGTGACAGAAAATAAGGTAAAGTGTTCCTGAGGAATGGCACCCAAGGTTAACCTTCGGCCTATGTGTACACACACACACACACACACACACACACACACACACACACACACACAAACACCACATCCACACGTACTTACACATACCCTTCATAAAGACTAGAAAAAGAAGAGTCAAAATTGGTAATGACCTGAGGAACAATTAAAACTACTCCTGCATTTCAGCTGTGAAAAACCACTGGATGTGGCAATGGACAAAACTGATTCATTTCACTTAGAGTGCGGCTATGATTCCAAGATTTATTCTGGGAAATTTGTCAGCAAATTGTCCAGCAAACGTTTGAAAACACAATTATCTCATTTGCATGCATTCTAGTCATAAGAGCTGGCCGAGCCTGTGTGTTTCGCCAAGCAGTGCTATGGCAAGCTGTATCCTACTGTAGAATGACTTAATGTTGCATGTGCTAACTAATCAAGCACTCGGAGGCAGCATTTGGGTTATCTCTGCTGCCTCCCTTTAAAAGATTCTCCTGTACACTGTTTGTTTTCTCCACACAGTCACCGCATGGCCCAGCTGTTATCACTCTGTTTTGCTAATGAGAAAGCTGAGAGCGTGTAGCAAAGACCTGCAGAGATAGTACTGCAATTCTGAAGGAAATCACCTGGCTAGGCACAGGCACCTTGCTGCTCTTTGCATGAGAAGCCAGGAGGCTGGGGCAGGCTTCCTTGTTTCCTGGTGCCAATTGCTCAATTAGAATACTCCTTTGAAAACACATTTTTAAGTACAGAGTTAACTCAGCCATGGTGCCTTGTGTTCCTGTGCTTGTCATGTGACTTTCAGAGTGCGGCTGATCCACAGTATCCTAGGCGCTATGAAAACTATGAGGGACGCTCACTTTCTGGCTGTGTTGGTGCTTGTCTGCTGTAGCAGGACTGAGACATGAATGGAATTCTCCAGTTTCCTCCATGCAGCTGGGATGTGTTAGAAACCATCCAGAATCAGATTGCCCTGGTGTCCCATTGCAGATTTGCTTTAAAAAAAAAAAAAAAAAAAAAAAATTGAGTTCAGTTGGCCTAATCTAGCTAGGAATGGAATGAGAAAGGGACGGTGGTTGGCATTAGTCAGAGAGACAATGACCTATAAATAAATACGGCCTTTTAAGTGTGTCTCATTCCTTCCCATCCTCATATTCAAGTACAGAGCCTCATGACTCTCTCGACTTAGGTCTGTGTGTTTCGGAATCAAACAAACATTGGGAAGACAGCTGTAAATACACCAAAGTGAAGCTCCCAATTAGGAGGCTTATCCTAGAGTGTTACCTGCACACCAGGCTCATTGATTTAAATCTTGCTGTCCCCATACCAGCCATGGGACATGCCGGTAGTGACTTGAAAATTCCATCTCCTTTTCTCACATCTATAACACAGAAACAAAAATATCTGTTTTATAGGATTTTTGAACAGGTTGAACAAGATGATACATATAAGCACTTAGTGCCTGGAGCGTGCTCAGGAAACATGGCAGGGACAAAATATCCTATGCAGTATATATGAATAAGGTAATATTTTATATATGCAGTATTAGACACTCTTCTCATGTAGGTAAGAAATTGTTATTGTGTAAGCCCCAGAAGGCCAGTGTTTACTCACAATTCATTAAACTATCTACTGCCGTTACTTGTACATACCTTCATTTCTTCATATGTAAAATGAAAAGAGAGATGTGAAGTCTGTGTGAAATACTTGCTACAGAGAACACTCTTAGCAGAAGATAACTGCCAGTCAAAGGGGAAGAGAAACAAGGGAACAAAACTGAATCGTTCTGAAAACAATTGCAAAAAAAACTGTAAATTGAATCCTCACTTTGCTTGCCTGGGGTCTGTTCTTTCTCTTGATTTTCAAATCCTGGGGGAGGTCTAGGGTTTCAGAATTTAGGAGTTGGTGCTTCTGTGTGCCCCAAAGGTGGGGGGGGGGCGGCAAAATGCAGCCTGCTATCTCTTTATGGTCAGTAAGATGGAAATGAATTCTATGTTCACAAGGAATCTAGAAAGCCTATGGTACTCTGTTGTTATCACGCGGTGGTAAATAAAGACAGCATGGCACATGCTCTTTTGGCAAGCCCTTCATTTAAGAATTGTTTAAGACATAAACTCAGGATAAACAGATGAATGAATGAATGAATGAATGAATGAATGAATGAATGAGTGAATAAAATATCGATGAGATCTGGAGAGGTTGCTCAACAATTACAAGCACTGGATGCTTGTCCAGAGGACAATGTTGTATCATTCAATAGTTGGCTCACAACCAACTATAACTCCTGTTCCAGGGTATCAGTTGCCCTCTGCCGACTTCCATGGGCATTGCATGCATATGGTGTTAGACATACGTGCAGAAAAAACACATACATAAACAACTAAATAAATAAATAAAATCTTCAGAACATCAGTGAAAGACTGCAATAATAATAATATAATTATAATAATAAGCTTTTACTAATTTCTTAGCCAGTCTGCAATAGATTTCCTTTCTGATGTCTTTTGAATTTCTATTTGTTTTCGTTGAGCAAAATTTGTCTCAAGCCAAGAATACAAAGCGGAGGAACTCAGTATGTGTCTGAATCAATGTGGGCTGTTATGACAAAATTCCACAGACTGGGTACTCTATAAACAGCACAGCTTTACCTTCCCTGTTTCTAGAGGCTGAAATCTCAGATCAGTAGACCAGTCTGCATGGACTCTGAAGAGCGCTATGTACCAGGCAGTAAACATCTGCCTTACATCCATGCATGGAGCAAATAGGGCTACAAGCTTTTGATCTCTTAGTATAAGAACTTCAATCCCACTCATGAGGATTCTGCCCATTTGACATGGCTATCCCAAAGGCTCTCCCCATTAAGCCACTGGGCCCAAGTGTGTTGGGCTTAGGATTTCAACAGATGAACTTGAAGGAGGACATGAACATTCCGTCCTAAAACCCTCCAAACTTGCTCTGTGAATCTGAGGCAGACCCATGGCATGATACTTGTTTTGTCAGTCAAGATCTATTTACTCAGGCTCTCTGTGAAGTTATGTCCACCTTAGAAAGATATGAGAGGTTGACTTTGAAGTTACTGATCCTCTGGAGCTCCTGGATTTGGTGCCTAAACATTGAGGAGTGCCATAGAATGGCGCAGAAAAGACTATGAAGATGTGTACTAAACTTGTTCCTCCCTCATGGATTATCAGTGATCAGCATCCCACTTATGGCCTTCATTTAATGGTTTTCTTCATTTTTATTAAAAAGAGTTTTGGCCTAATTTTCTTCAAGTAATGATTTAAGTGTGATAAACACCATGCTATATTTTTTTTCTAAATTTGGGTATTCTAAATGCCAAACGGGTTTCTTTGGGTCTCCTGTGGGTTTCATCTGTCTTATTTATTTATTTTTCATTTCAGGGACTCCCAGGACTCGCTGGTAATATTGGGTCACCTGGCTACCCTGGCAGGCAGGTGCAGTGACTAAGCTTACACTTTTTCTTGCTTGTCCCTTGTCACATACTCATTGCAGCGTCTGATTTTGAGAGTCATTGTTCAAATGACAGATATGTTAGTCCCCCTTCATGGTGAATTACTTAGATAATCAATCAAAGCTGTAAAACTTCTTCAAACATTGTACTGTAGACTGTTTTGTTGGATGCCGAAGCTTGGCTTTTAAATACATCTGATACATTTCACGATGGAACTTTTAAAGTTATGATGCCTAAGAGACAAATAAGATCTGCAGTGAGTCCCATGCTAACTGGACTAAAATGAAATAAGTGTGAAAGTATCTCCACAATAAGTGTCATTTTAATAACACACTTATAAAAACTTGGGAGAAATTGAGAGTGTTTCACATGCCAGAATGAAATATTTGCATCTGGCCTGAATTCAGTTCATTGTACAGTTTTGAAAACCTGTTTCAATCACTTTGTGTGTCATTTCCTCTGTTTCCCAACTTAACATAAATTAATAATACAATAGGCTTTCTGTCTTAGAATTTTGTGATGTGATTGTCTTTAAAAATAATAATTAAATTTTGAAATCTAAATTTATAAACTTATCCTCAAGAAAAGGACAAATAATCTAAGAATTTATTTTTAACAAAATTGCATTTTATGCACTTAAAACTATACAAAGCTGTTTATATTGTGCTGAAACCATTTAGTTAGGGTGTATGTTTTAAAAATGAAATATGAACACATACATGGACAGCAATTTGCAGTTTAAAATGTACTCATCTCTACTAACTTACCAGAATGGATTTCAGAGTAAGTAAATGTTTCTGCACAGAACACAGATGATTTCCCAATGAAAAGTAATTTAGAGAAAAAAAGTTTTGCTGCTCCTGAAAACACCTGCTAATGTATTTTATTTGGGTGACTAAGATACAGTTATGTATTCATTTCATGAGATGCTTTTTGGGTTCTGCAATTACAGAAGTCTTTGAACATTTGTGATCTTCTTTAGGTAAACTGAGTCCTTAGTTTTATACTATTTTTGTAGTTTTATAAGACTATTTGTTAACTCTTCAAACATATTGGACCATCCTGACAACACCCTTTGTTCACACCAGGGTTTAGCTGGACCAGAAGGAGATCCAGGCCCTAAAGGTGTTCGAGTAAGTAAGCGGTGTTGTGTGTGTGTGTGTGTGTGTGTGTGTGTGTGTGTGTGTGTGTGTGTGTGTTTTAGCAGTTTGTTAAGCATACCTGCAAGAAGGTAGACTGGAAAGATATGAAGGACTTACCATTTCCACACTCTTTAGGGGTTTTGCAAGTTTAGTTTGAAAGGAATGCATTTGACATTTTCTCTCTGATGCGTGGATAACCATTGGTCTCGTCATTATTATCCATTTCCCATTCTTAACTTGCTTTCAGATGTGTTAGGATGTGCTATGCGCACAGTGTAGCATCATTATTTGCACATGAACACACCCAAGCTTTAGAAGACATGTTGGGGTGATTAGGTGAAGATATGTACAGTAGTTTAACGCGGGGATAATTTGATGGTGCAAGAGCCGTCATCGCTGTCGGGAGTAAGGACATCTGTGAAGAAGGGAGTCAGCTTCACATCAGGGCTTCACTTTACACTTCTAAACCATTAAAGGAAATCATGAGCCAATCTTAATCATCGAGGGAAAGAGGAAAACTGCTACAGCAATGGAGCATGCTAGAAATTGCAACCATGCATCGCTGCAACTGCTGCTTTTGGCGTGCATATCCTCAGGCCTCTGCTTACCAAGATTTATGTCCTGTAGATCCCTCTCATCCCTTCCCTCATTGAAATGCATGCCTCCGTGTGCTTCCTGCCACCTGCCTTGCATTTTAGTGACCTGTGTATACACTCTATGCACTTTCCTGCATCAGTGAAGGGTTTGGCTGTGTTGAATTTTAGTTGCTGCTTTGCCTTGAGTTACACTCTCTACTCTTTTGTATCAATGAAAAGACTCATGTGTAATGTCTTGACAAAAAAGCAGTAGCATAAAAAGAATTTGTTCACATTTTTATATCTCTAAATGTAATGTTGAGAGACACAACACTTTAAGCACTTCTGCAAAGAATGTTATGGATCAAACAGTAAAAACAAACAACGTCAAAGATTATTTTCTTTCTTCAAGGGTTTCATTGGCTCTCCTGGAGAGGCAGGACAGCTTGGACCTGAAGGAGAAAGGGTGAGGTTATTTCCTTCAAATATTACTTCCAATGTGTTCTCCTTGTGATCCAGTGGGGATCACAAACTCACATATGAGAGTTAAGTCCAGTCTAAGAGAAATCACCTACTACAAATATTGAACTTTTATAAATTCTTTGAATTTTTTGTAAGAAACATGATATGAATATGGCTACAAATTTTACTTTATTTTTTTTAAATTTTAATTATTTTACATCGATCCCAATTCCCTCCCTCCGTCTTTCCCTCCCTCTCATGCCCCTCCCATCCCACCCCTCCACTCCACAGGAGGGGTCAACAAAATCTGACAGGTCATTTGGAATAGGGACTAGGCCCTCCCTCCTGTCTCTAGGCTAAGGGAGTATCCCCCCATGGGGAATATGCTTCCAAAGTCCTTTTATGCACCAGGGATATATCCTGGTTCCATTGTCAGAGGTCCCTTAGACTACCCAGGGCTTCTAGCCTCATGAACATGGAGTCTGAGTCCCTCCAATGCTGGTTTCCCAGCTATCAGTCTGGGGGTAAATTAGCTCCCCCTTGTTCAGGTCAGCTGTCTCTGTGGGTTTCTGTAGCCTGGTCTTGCCCCAATTTTCTTATCATTCCTCCCTCTCTGCATCTGGATTCCAGGAGTTTGGTTATATACTTTAAATTCAATTTTTAAAATATGTTAAAATATGAAAATAGGTCTCTGTGTAGCTATGCCAAGTCCTGATGATTTTCTTCCTCTCTGGTGATTATAAATGGCTGTCAGTCAAGGTGATATTATCAAGTAGGATGTTGTAGGTATCAGTTAACAGACATTCAAACTCAAAGTGTATTGAAGATTGAAATGGGAAAATTTTAAGAATAGTGATGGGAATAGTACACAATTTGCCAAATAACTGCGTGCATATTCACACACACACACACACACACACACACACACACACTACTGTACAAGCACTTCACATAAATCAAGTCCTGTAATGCCCACACAGTACAGCTATTATTTTCATTATTGAGTGAGTGAGGCATATGCAGAGAAAGTAACTAATCCGACTTCATGCAGGAAGTGAGGGTGTAGAACATGCCCACCTGTGTCTTGGGCACACAGCCTTGACTCCACTGCCTCTTACCTGACCAGAAACTGAAGAAAGGCCAGGGGCATCTTTATAACAGATAAACTAGAGCAGTCAGAGAACCCTCTCTGCTGCTTTTCTGAAATTGGTTTCCCATAAAATTGGAAGCTGGCAGTGCAAGGATTTGATTAACTTTGTTTATCAGAGGCGGACACACATCCTGTTTTAGCTGTAGAAAATAAGATGTTCCTGTTATTGGTGGCATGCCTACTCCTCACAAATAACTATTATTACCAGGGAAGGGAAGGACCCTATTTGAAAGCTTGAATGTTATTAGGAATCTTTTTCAGAAAAAGAGTTGGGTATATTGTTAAATGAATATGTTGAAGTTAAATGAATGCATTGAAGCTTTTCTGAACATTGCACTCATTTTTATTTCACTAATTGATATTCAAGAAAAAGAGCTAGTTTTTGTTTAAGAAATTCATTCAGAAAACACTTAACTTTTGACTTTTCTGCACTCTAGGGTACTCCTGGGATCCGTGGGAAGAAGGGTCTGAAAGGAAGACAGGTAACGTGGCTCATCCTCCTTGAGGATCAGTGAACTAGTGTGGTCTGATCTTACTTGTTTCTCCCATCTTACAATGTCTATGAGTGTCTCCGCCTTTGTGTTTCCTGTCACCCACTGATTTGAGCCACTTTACCAAATAATACTTGAGATGGTAAACAAAATGTAGATGTAAAAATAACTCTAAATTTAATACTTCTGAGCCTTCTGGTATAACAGCAGAATAAATTGTTGTCTCCATGGTGGGTGGCTACAATGCCAGAATATACAGGAACAACTTAAAACCTGACAGACACACAGAGTCAACCTGCTGACGATGATTAGACATTGTAAATTCCACACAGAGGCATCCAACCATTTGACATCATGACATTTTGTTGCCATCTATCAAACTCTCACTGGAGAACCACGGAAGTAGCTAAAACTTTGCAAAACGAATTCTCAGAGTTTTTAGGAAGCTTGCAACAGCTGGATGATTACCCCTGAGAGACTTACTTCTCATATTTCTTTTGTTTTCAGAGTTTAAAAAAGCAATGGATGTGAATTTCATTAGATAATACAATAATTTCATAGAGGAGAGATCCCAAAAATACTTCATTTCCCATTTTCCCACAGCCTTCTCAAACTCTCCTTTAAAATTCAATATTATCCTTTTGGATACTTTTTTAAATCACCTATGAATAAAAAGTCAAAGTTATCTGTGGCATCACATATCTATAATATTTAAATTATTTAAAGCATTCAGTCTTTTGAGCTTTGTAATATTCCTTGAAAATAGCTCAGGATAGATTCTAGAGTCATTAAGATTGGGAAACAGGAGGTCTGAGATGTCTAATGACAGGTAAGATGGGGAAGGAGGGTCAACTGTGGCCAGAGTGTCAAGAAGAAAAACAAGCCATAACCTTAAGGCTGAGTACAGATGCACTTCCTATAAATCTGGCAATTCCTGCTTTCTGTACCATACTCTATGTGATTTTTTTCATGATATGTGGCCAAAGTGTGATGAAGCTGTTTGAATTTTTCACTTTGAAGACTTCAGTTATTGAAAAAAAAATCCACCAAAATGTTGAGATGCAAAACTAAACCTCAAATTTTGCTTCCCTGCATTGATAATGAACTTCAGAGCTGACCTCATCTCAGCTGCAGCAGAAGCAAACACCATCACCAGTTAAGGAATGTAACCGGCAGTGTAAATATGGCATGTAAAATTTTACATGGATATGACACTGTGTTCTTTGCATTTTAGCCCCCATCCACACCCCCAACAGAAGCCATCTCTATTATCATATGTCAAATTTCTAACAAAAATATGAAGATCTAGTTCTATTCAAATGGACAATAGTTCAGTCTCATCATTTTTAATCACGCTAGTCTGCGACTCTTAATTTTTCTATCTTGTTCCTACCAGTTTGTTGCTAATAAAATAATCAAGAAAAATCTTTTATAGTAATATATAATTCTTTAATAATTACTTCAAGCATTTGTAACCTTGAGATAAGCCAATGGTTGGAATTGGTGAAAAACAAATCAAGTATTTTCAAAGTCCTATCATATATGGCTTGGACAATCACTAGTTTGATTGATTAGTATATTTGGTCTTATATGGATATTGACTCATCCTTGACATCAGCCACATGTAGGAACATTCTAATTTCCTACTCCATAATGACGTAAATTATCCATAGATTTATAGGCAGCTTTTGTTTGTTTAATTCTCAGAGAGTTATAAAATTAGATGGTGGATCCTGTTTAACTCAAACGATAATTCAAAGGGGCTGGAGAGATGGCCCAGCAACTGGGAACCCTGTCTGTTCTCCCTCAGGCCCTGGTTTTCATTCCCAGCACCCACATGGCAGTTCATAACCATCCATAATTGTAGTCCCAGCGAATTCAACACCCTCTTCTAGCCTTTGAGGGCACAGTGTGCATGTGGTTAGATGCGCATACATGTAAAAGTCCCACACTCATTAAATAAAAATAAGTAGTCTTAAAAACAGAGTTCAAGAAAAATGTGGAGAAATAGAAAATGCAATGCATTCTGAGAATTTTTATCCTACCATTCTTCACTTTGTAAAACTGGCAAAGGCTTATTGCTTCAAAATGTATTCATTTGTTCAAGATTTGGACTCCGAGAATTATACTTGAAAATCATATAAATCCAGTTTCTCCTATTTTGTTATAGTAGGAAATTGTTTGCTACTCTAACATGTCATGCTTGTTATATGCATTCTTTCTTATTTTTACCACAAAGTGGCCTAGCAATATGTATAAGACAAAATGGACAGTTGGGGTGAGAGACAGTTTAAGGTACAGTTGACCAAGGTACAGTGGATCTCAGGTGGGGTTCTGATGCTGTCCGGCCCATGAGCTGTGTAAGTTGCATTATTTCTGAGCTTACAGGATGTTGTCATAAATCATATGTTTACACTGCTGGCAAATGATCACTTACTTCCCCGAGTAAACCCAAACCATGAAATTAGTTGTAGGGAGCCAACTTAGTGGTGTCCAGTTCTTTGTCGTTGTTGTTTGATGAAATCATAGGCTAACAGTGAGATGAATCTTTTCTAGACATTCTAGACAAGTGCTACTGAAATGGACACATTTTTCAAAGGATGCATTGTTTTGATTATTTAAGAAATAATTACTTTACAACAGAGATAATTATCATTTAGCTTCATATTGTTTATTTTTAATTTAATGTTTTTGTTATAAGTTACTTCTCTTCAAATCTTACTTCCTGAACACAACCCCCCCAGCAGTGAAATAGTGTCTGTATGCAGTGTTTACATAGCTAGTTGATATCTGTAACACAGTATTGCTTCAGACTTTTTTAAAAACCAAGATTATTACTTTTAAGTAAGATCGTTGTTTTGTTAGGAATTTGTTGTACTTAAGGGCCAAATAGGATTAAAATAGTTATTTTAGCAAATATGCTCCTAGGTCTTTGGTTGTTGGAGCTTCAAATTATCCTTCCTTTCATAAGCTCTTCCTCATGTTAGCATAGAGAGTAAGGCTCACGATAAGCAGTCTTGTGTGTATGTGTGTGTGTGTGTGTGTGTGTGTGTGTGTGTGTGTGTGTGAGAGAGAGAGAGAGAGAGAGAGAGAGAGAGAGACAGGGTTCAAGGCTGGCCTTGAACTCACAAAGATCTATCTGCCTCTGCCTCCCAAGTGTTGGGATTAAAGGCATGTGCCATCAACGCCTGGCTCGGTGTAAGCAGTCCATTTAGTTAAAGAATTGCATGACACCAGCCACATGTGGCCTTCCTTGTGCTAACTCGGGCTCTCAGACAATCAGCTCTTAGAGTCCTTCTCTTTTTCTCTCCAGTTTACATGTCATAAATAGATCAAAACTCAAAGACTACAGGGTAGCCCCTGGAAATTGAAGCACTCCTAATGAAACTGACATTTGAAGACTAATAGGCCCAAGAGATGAGTCCTGTGCGTGTGTTTGCACTCTGTGGTCTGAACTCAGCAAATGTTCATTCTCCAGACATCTCCGATGAGGAAAAGAATCAAAGGTGGTAGCAGGTGATGGTTTTGAATCAGACTTTGAAAACTCCACAGTGCTGTTCTGGGACACACACTTCCCTGTGTATCTGTGAGACACATTTTAGAACAGACCTGCGATGAATCATAATCTTTCAAGGCTCAAAGCAGCTGTTGATTCAAAAAGCAACAAGGCTTATGAAAAACAGTAAAGGCAGACAGGATTTGCGTGTGTTCAAGAACTGCAGATTTCATGCCTTATACCTAATTGCACATGGCTGTCAGTGCAGTTCCCACAGTTCATTTTGTAGGGCAGCAGACAGATGTTAATTCTAAGGTTGATTTTATAAGAATTTATGGGGCCACTGGCTCAATTTACCAATAGTATGTTTATTGTTGTGTGGTTTCAACATCTAAAAAATGTACACTACAGCTGAAATTCCATGACTGAAGACAAACATGAAAAGGGAGATGGCAAATACTCTCAATAACGCCCAGAAAATAACCATCAAAAGGAAAAACAAGAAACAGTGTTTTAGGCTGGGGAGACGGCTCCTTCAGTAAAGGGCTTCCCTTGCAAGCTGAAGACCTGAGTTCGATCCAGAGTCCATGAAAAAATACAGTATGGTAGTATGCATCCACAATTTTGGTAGAAACACACAGGCCCCTGGATGTGTGGGAGCCCACTAGCCTGGCCTCTGTGGTGCAGTTCCCAGCAAAGAGAGACCCTGTCTCAAACAAAACGTAGAGAACACCAGAGCACCAAGGTTGTCCTTTGACCTCATGTATGCATGTATGCTCTGGAGGCATGGAGGCACACACACACACACACACACACACAGAGAGAGAGAGAGAGAGAGAGATCAAAATTATTGGAGATTTCTTGGACTTGAAAGGATTACAAGTGGTCAGATCATATTACATTTAAAGTCTGAGAGTACGACAGCACTAAGCTTTACTCCTGGGAAAACAAAACTGATACCCTTAAGGGATATTTACTTTGCTAACTATAGAAAAGGGTTCCCTCCTCTCACCCCGTCTCCCTCTGACATAGCCTCCTTTTGGAAGAGTCTATTTAAAGTAAGCTGTGTTTTGCCTTCTAACCCCAGTGTTAGGAGTTTGGGGGCATAGGCGCTCTACTGAGCATCTGTTATTAGTGTCTATGTTTAGCCCATGACAATCTTAAGCACGTGGAGCACACTATCGTCTCAGATGTGTACACTCTCTGGAGAAGTCACAGGCAGTATTTTCTTTCCTTCAGGAAAAAGTATCAATTCATTGGGTCATAAAGGAAACACTGGAGTATTTTTGATAGATTGTCATTAATTTCCCAATGATTTCTTCCTAATTTAGGAAAAAGATAGCTATTTTCTCGTTTCTACTGTATGGAACCATCTATTGCAACCACATTTGGCTAACTACCATATGACAAGTATGTAGAAGATTTCAGATTCCAGGACTTTGAATTTGACTCACCCACAAGGTTGGGAAAGGGATACCCACTGCTCCTTTGGAGA